AGGCTTTAAAATCTACAGGCCCTGAATGAAATCTGCAGGCCCATTTTGTCAAAGTCATTTTGCCAATGAAAACAAAATAGACTACACTGTACACAGTTTCAAACCGTTTCTACAAAATCAATTAGCGAAGCCTATGGCGTCTTTATTTGTTAAGGACTGGTGTTGACATTAATATGCGCAAAGTGCTGAAATACCAGGAAGTGGAACTGTAAGTCATCAAAACATGATGTATCATGAATGTTTCCAGAACGTTAATAAAGAAAAACATTATGGGAAAGATTACAGTTGAAAAATATTACAGATAATTTACTGCAAATATTTCAAACTGCCGGCCCGATTCAATAACAACCGGTGCTGGGCCTCCGGGCCGGCGATTAATTCGAACGCTGCACCTGTACTTTCAGGTAGTATCCTCTCTCATTCCTGGGAATCGGATCCCCAGAGATAACTGTAATGCAATAAGATTTCATATTGAAAGAAGGAAGGTTTTCTGGCTTTTAACATACCAACATGCCACGTCACATCACGCCTCTCTATCCGCTTAAAGCCAAACAAACGTGTATGATAATATCAGTCCTTTGTTTATTTTGTTAAACACAAACACATACTTCATTCACCATGTCACGGACGCAGCAGCCTGTAGAGAGACGCCCGGCAATCACGAGACGGGCCATTCAGAGATAAGCTGTTGACTATAGCATCTGAACGTGTTTCACTGTCGATCTGTTGCTGGAATATTGCTAAAATCGGCGTAAAACCAAACTCAGTGAGTCACTGTCGACTGAGTGACTGAGTTTTACGCCGCTTTTAGCAATATTCCAGCAACATCACGGCGGGGACGAGCCAACGAAATGGACTTCACATTTGAAAACATCCTGTTAGTGGTGTCCATAAAAATGTTTTCGTAAAACAGGATGCTCTAAACTCCTTGATTCGGAAGATCCAAAATACTTCCACCCCATCAGGTTCCCTATAACACCAGTGGAAAGAACTGTGACGAGCCAACGCTTTAACCATTAGGCGTATGTCCCCCACAACTTGCGCTCCAACACACAAAAAGTTATTCTATATTTGAAAACATCCTGTTCCCAGTGGTGTCCTTTTAAAAAAAATGGTTTCGTAAAACAGGATGTATCAAAATTACATATTATGAGAGACTAATCGCCAGTCGGGCGATGGGGTAGCCTAGTGGTTAAAGCGTTCGCTCGTCACGCTGAAGACCCGGGTTCGAGTCACCACATGGGTACAATGTGTGAAGCCCATTTCTGGTGTCCCCCCGCCGTGATATTGCTGGAATATTGCTAAAAGCGGCGTAAAACCATACTCACTCACTCACTCACTCAATCTATGGTCATGGGCCCACTTTTAAAAGGTTTATCTTACTGCTAAGATAATCTTAACTATCATACTGTAACATTGCCTCTAAAATAGTCGTAGCGCTAACGTTAGAGTATGTCAGCAGTTATAGCTTTGTGCCAGCGGGCCCATGAGATCTAGCAGAAGAGAGCAGAGGTAAAACTCGCTTGTTATACGAGGATGCTACGACAGTTTAAAGCACAGTGGAAAGGAAGTCCGTATTTGAGCTTAATCCAGTTCGACTGTTTGAAATACGACTGACTGACTGAGTATGGTTTTACGCCGCCTTTAGCAATATTCCAGCAATATCACGGCGGGGGACACCAGAAATGGGCTTCACATATTGTACCCATGTGGGGATTCGAAGCCGGGTCTTCGGCGTGACGAGCCAACGCTTTAACCACTAGGCTACCCCACCGCGCCCTTGAAATACGAAAGAACTTTATTTGGAAAACCCACAACCCGTATAGAGAATGTAGTGATGATGAAATAGCGAACACTTACCGTCGTAACGGGGTCACAGCCTCCAACCCGCCAGACGAGGTCAATAAGATAGCGTCTGTGGTCCCCGTAAGTAGGGCATACGTACGAACGTCGTTGTATGCAGACTAGAATATCACTAAAGTCAGATAGTTATATTACTACATTGAAAAATCGGCTTACGCACACCTTGTGGTAACGTGCAATAGTGGATATCATGGTCAGGGTATTATGAGTCTATAGCGATTTTGTTTTCGTACTTCGCTCCCGTCCAGAAACCTGCGAAAAGTTAAACAATGACACAATAGGACCTTTACATTTCAAACTGTATTGGTATGTGTCCAAAGGTCAGGGGGTCACACTGTATATCATTGTTGCTATATATACCAAGCTGGATTTAAATAGGACACAGGGCCTGAATCCGGGGTCAAGGTTGTAATATATCGGTAACACTCAATGTTGAAATGACTGACTGACTGACTGAGTTTGGTTTTACGCCGCTTTTAGCAATATTCCAGCAACATCACGGCGGGGGACACCAGAAATGGGCTTCACACATTGTACCCATGTGGGGATTCGAACCCGGGTCTTCGGCGTGTCGAGCCAACGCTTCAACCACTAGGCTACCCCACCGCCCCATGTTGAAATGAACTGCATGTAAGCTTTGAAGCATGCTAATCATGTTGAGATATATATATACAAAGGTGAATAACTGATACTTTCAACAAAGATGACTTGTTTTTGCCAAACACCAATGCCTCCAAGGTGAATGATATACTGTATACCAAAAGCCGTGCACCTCCCTTCTTCCAAAACGTTGTATCCGAGTATAGGAGTTAATACAGTCGTAGCGCTACGACCATCGTAAGTCTACGTCAAAGTATAGGTGTTCAAGTCAAAACATTGATTACACAACAGTCTCGTTTACTGCTGACTGGGTTCCGTCCTATAGCGCAACCTAACCAGTCCAGACTTTTGAGCCCAATTCATTCAACTGGAAACATAAATAATAATCAGTATTATTTGATACATCTAAGCACTTGTATATTGCAACACTATGCTCATTCTAACCCTTGCAAACACGTCGTGCAGCGTGCTCTGTCGTACTGCGTACTGACTAACGGAAATCTGGAAATCGTGGAATTCTCAAAACGAGGCTCTGTCGCTAGAAAAGTTTGGTGATCTGGTACGGACTTGATATTATATCAATCACTCTGTGGGTTACAAAACTACACTGAATAAGCGAAAAGAACACATACGAATAACTCGTAACAGATGTAACCAGAGCCAGATGAATTGTGAATCATTTTACGACCTCATCAAACAAGGGCAGTCTCAGACATCATAGTTAAGGTCATGCTGCCTATTATATACCTCGAGATAAAATATAGAAATACGATGGTATTAAAGTTTAAAATTAAAATTCATTTGTAAATACCATTTTCTTATGAAACAAGAAATTGGAAATTAGTGTTACCATAGTTGTTTGTGGTGGGGTTTTCCACTTTCATACGAGAAAATTCGGATCGGCTGAAAAGTAGGACATTGTCTGAATAGGTTAATGAGACTCATTTTTCGGTTTGACACAGTCGTAGAGCTACGACCACCGTAAGTGTATGTCAAGGTATAGGAGTTCAGACAGTCGTAGCACTACGCTCATCTTAAGTATGTGTCAAAGTATATGAGGTAAGACAGTCGTAGCACTACGACCATCGTAACAGTCGTAAGACAGTCAGCACTGCATCGTAAGTTTATGTCAAAGTATATGTCAAAGTATGAGGTAAAATCTATGTCAAAGTAGAAGACAGTCGTAGCACTACGAGCATCGTGAATCTATGTCAAAGTATAGGAGGTAAGACAGTCGCACTAAGTCGTAAGTCTATGTCAAATGATAGGCATAAAACATAGTCTAAGCAGTAAATCTGTAGTATACGAGGTAAGACAGTCGTAGCACTACGAGCATCGTGAATCTATGTCAAAGTATAGCGTTAAAACAGGTAAGACAGTCGTAGCACTACGAGCATCGTGAATCTATGTCAAAGTATAGGAGGTAAGACAGTCGTAGCACTACGAGCATCGTATGAGGTCTATGTCAAGCATCGTAAATAGGCATAGAAGGTAAGACAGTCGTAGCACTACGAGCATCGTAAATCATGTCAAAGCATAGAAGGTAAAAGTCAGTAGCACTACGAGCATCGTGAACCTATGTCAAAGGATATGAGGTAAGACAGTCGTAGCACTACGACCATCGTGAACCTATGTCAAAGTATAGGAGGTAAGACAGTCGTAGCACTACGACCATCGGAAGTCTATGTCAAAGTATAGAAGGTAAGACAGTCGTAGCACTACGACCATCGTAAGTCTATGTCAAAGTATAGAAGGTAAGACAGTCGTAGCACTACGAGCATCGTAAATCTATGTCAAAGTATAGAGCATCGTAAGACAGTCGTAGCACTACGACCATCGTAAGTCTATGTCAAAGTATAGAGAGGTAAGACAGTCGTAGCACTACGACCATCGTAAGTCTATGTCAAAGTATAGGAGGTAAGACAGTCGTAGCACTACGAGCATCGTGAATCTATGTCAAAGTATACGAGGTAAGACAGTCGTAGCACTACGAGCATCGTAAGTCTATGTCAAAGTATAGGAGGTAAGACAGTCGTAGCACTACGAGCATCGTAAATCTATGTCAAAGTATAGGAGGTAAGACAGTCGTAGCACTACGAGCATCGTAAATCTATGTCAAAGTATACGAGGTAAGACAGTCGTAGCACTACGACCATCGTAAATCTATGTCAAAGTATAGGAGGTAAGACAGTCGTAGCAGCACTACGAGCATCGTAAGTCTATGTCAAAGTATAGGAGGTAAGACCATGTGATTACAATGTGTTGCATGGTATCCCGGCGGGATGGATCGTTGCTGATGCTTGGAGGAACTGGTTTGCTTCTTGCTGACGTGCCGTCGCGATGTAGCTGTAAAGTGTCAACTGAGGCTTAAACAATATTGACTCACTAACTCCCGTCAATTCAAGTCTTCTTTTATGAATCCCGAGTTCACAAATTCTGACTTATTGTTTCCAGCGCTCGTTGCTCTATTAAACACATTTCATTTTTGTTACCACGTTGACATTGTATCTATATATGATACCTTTTCATTGTTATAGGACTCGCAGTCGTCGATGTCGCTTGATGGGAGGGGATGAGGCGGGACGTCGACGATGCATGTTCAGTGATGAGGAGTTCAGGAAAAGGATTGCAGCCCTTAGAGTTCAAACAGAAGGTAAGTTGGGTCGGGTCCAAGCAGAGTAGGGTGGGTTGGTTCGGGTCCAAGCAGAGTTGGTTGGGGTCCAAGCAGAAGGTGAGTTGGTTCGGGTCCAAGCAGAGTCCAAGGGTGGGTTGGTTGGGGTCCAAGCAGAGGTCCAAGCGTCCAAGCAGAGCGTGAGTTGGTTGGGCCAAGCAGAAGTAAAGAAGGTGAGTTGGTTCGGGTCAAGCAGAGGGCGACTTGGTTGAGGTTGGGGTCCAAGCAGGGGGGATTGGTTCGGGTTCAAGAAGAATCAGTCGGGCAAGTGTTTTATTGATGCGTTCACATCAGTGAGTGTTGGGTTCTACACCGATTTTAGAAATATTCCTGCAGTATGTCTGCCAGGAACTTCAGAAATGGACTTCATACATTGTAATCCAGTAGGGCTCCTTTTCAATTTGAAGGGGTGTTAGTCTGCTCCTAACGATACCCATGTGGATCTTTTACTGTTCGTCAAACCCCAAGTGAATCTTATGCACCTGTTCAATACCTTCCGTTTAGGATACGTGTCACGAGGCATGTGTGTATTATCGCATGTGTATGTTCGCTATTTGTTGAATCATTCATTCATTCATTCATTCATTCATTCATTCATTCATTCATTCATTCATTCATTCATTCATTCATTCATTCATTTATTCATTCATTCATTCTCTCTTATATTTACCTATTCTTGCATTTAGTTTTTCTTCCGTTATTGTTCTGAGACATTCATTCATCCTTTCTTTCTTTCTTACTTTGACCTCTTCTTTTATTTAGTGTCTAACGTAGTTGACGCTATATCCAATACTCCGATAGTTAAGACGATGTTAATTTATTGTCTGTGCAGGATCCATGTGTGATATCAACACTCCGGTTGTCTCGAAACTATTATAACTGAAAGCAGTGGTCTTGTGTCTTCGACTCTATTGTCCAAGCTTATAATAGAATACTATACCTGTGTGTTGAATCTTGTCCAACATCCTTGTCTGACATATCCACACTCCGGTTATCTCGAACTATATGAATGCAATGGTCTTGTATCTTCGACTTAACGTGGATTATCTGCTGTCCAATCTTTAACTAGTTTACTACTACTGTCGCTACTTGTTTCAGCCAAAACCATCAAGGTGTCGTCCATCGATTTGTGCAAGGACTCGAACAAGGAGAATCACCACACTGACGAGTACGAGAAGGATGAGCTGGTCATCAGAAGGGGACAGGCCTTTGACATGTCCATCACTTTCGACCGACCCGTCAACAAAGACTCTGACGTCATATTTCTACAATTCACAACAGGTCATTGTGACTCAAAAATTTATACTTCGGGAGGCAGGGAACTGTGTGGATGTGTGCGTGCTTGCGTGTGTACGTGCATGCATGTGGTATGCCTGTGGGGGCGTGGGCCCACATTAACCACTAGGCTGCACCACTGCTCTTAATATATGAGAGGACATTTTTGATATTTTATTTACTTATAACTTGGCAATGATGTGAAGTTTACATGAGATGTATACATGTATACATTGTATAAATTCATGGTTTATATGTTTAGGTAATCTTTGTAAGCGACATTCACTGATCCCGAAATAGAACAGAAAGATTGACAAAACAAATTATCTATTAATTATTTCTATCTACAAATTATATAGTAATTCAATGGCCTCTTACAGGTGCCCGTCCCCAGGAGAGTAAGGGTAGTCTACTCCGGCTCCCCCTCCTCTCTAAAACAAAACCTCTGAGGCGTGCCCGGGCTTGGAATGTGAACAAAGTCAATGTCAGTGGAAGCAAGGTGACGGCAACAATAACGCCCTTCCACCGCGCCATCGTCGGCCGCTACAGCGTGTACGTTGAAAGCAAGACGGAGAGCGACAAGAAGATAAATAGATATGAATTAGAGGACGAGGATATCTTCGTTCTCTTCAATGCTTGGTGTAAAGGTAGGATCATATAAACACTCTTCTTTGCAATGCTTTGTGTAAAAGTCGGGTCATATAGACACGATTCTCTTCAGTGCTTGGTGTAAAAGTCGGGTCATATAGACACGATTCTCTTCAGTGCTTGATGTAAAAGTCGGGTCATATAGACACGTTTCTCTTCAGTGCTTGGTGTAAAGGTAGGGTCATATAGACACGGTTCTCTTCAGTGCTTGGTGTAAAGGTAGGGTCATATAGACACGGTTCTCTTCAGTTCTTGATGTAAAGGTAGGGTCATATAGACACGTTTCTCTTCAGTTCTTGATGTAAAGGTAGGGTCATATAGACACGTTTCTCTTCAGTTCTTGGTGTAAAGGTAGGGTCATATAGACACTGTTCTTCTTAAAGGTAGGGTCATATGTTCTTTCAGTGTAAAGGTAGGGTCATATAGACACGTTTCTCTTCAGTTCTTGGTGTAAAGGTAGGGTCATATAGACACGTTTCTCTTCAGTTCTTGGTGTAAAGGTAGGGTCATATAGACACGGTTCTCTTCAGTTCTTGGTGTAAAGGTAGGGTACATATAGACACGTTTCTCTTCAGTTCTTGATGTAAAGGTAGGGTCATAGACATAGACACTGTTCTCTTCAGTGCTTGGTGTAAAGGTAGGGTCATATAGACACGGTTCTCTCTTCAGTTCTTGATGTAAAGGTAGGGTCATATAGACACGGTTCTCTTCAGTTCTTGGTGTAAAGGTAGGGTCATATAGACACGGTTCTATAGACTTGATGTAAAGGTAGGGTCATATAGACACGGTTCTCTTCAGTGCTTGGTGTAAAGGTAGGGTCATATAGACACGGTTCTCTTCAGTTCTTGGTGTAAAGGTAGGGTCATATAGACACGTTTCTCTTCAGTTCTTGGTGTAAAGGTAGGGTCATATAGACACGTTTCTCTTCAGTTCTTGATGTAAAGGTAGGGTCATATAGACACGTTTCTCTTCAGTGCTTGGTGTAAAGGTAGGGTCATATAGACACTGTTCTCTTCAGTGCTTGGTGTAAAGGTAGGGTCATATAGACACTGTTCTCTTCAGTGCTTGATGTAAAGGTAGGGTCATATAGACACGTTTCTCTTCAGTTCTTGATGTAAAGGTAGGGTCATATAGACACTGTTCTCTTCAGTGCTTGGTGTAAAGGTAGGGTCATATAGACACGGTTCTCTTCAGTGCTTGGTGTAAAGGTAGGGTCATATAGGTTCTCTTCAGAAGCTTGGTGTAAAGGTAGGGTCATATAGACACGGTTCTCTTCAGTGCTTGATGTAAAGGTATACCCATATAGAAACTGTTCTCTTCAGTGCTTGGTGTGAAGGTCGGGTCATATAGACACTGTTCTCTTCAGTGCTTGAAGTACAGGTAGGATGATATAGACACTGTTCTCTTCAGTGCTTGGTGTAAAGGTAGGGTCATATAGACACTGTTCTCTTCAGTACGCGGTGTAAAGGTAGGGTCATATAGACACTGTTCTCTTCAGTGCTTGATGTAAAGGCATACCCATATAGAACTGTTCTCTTCAGTGCTTGGTGTGAAGGTCGGGTCATATTGACATCCTGAGTACAAAAAATGTCAAAATTATTAATAATGTAGCCATTTTTGGGTAAAAATGTATTTGATTTACGTCTAACGTCACTGTCACGTGCTACTTGAATGTATTTAAATAACATTATTGTACTCTAGGCCATGAGGCACATAATGAATAAATTCTCTTCTGTTCTGTGCATATAGACACGGTCCTCTTCAGTGCTTGGTGTAAAGCTTGGGACATTTCTACAAGTTGTAATATGCTCGGAATAGCTTGAAAGCTATGAGCAATTATATGACCATTTGCAGACGTTGTAATAGGCCAGCCCCCAAATCTGAACTACTGCTAGTTGCGGCGTTAAATAACAAACACAACACTGGCTTGAAACAAATGAAAGGAACAGTGATGTTATTCTTCCTTCCACAATTTTCTAAAGTCAATTAAGCGAACGTAAAATCTCAGTTCACGCGACTGATTGGCGATTGATGTCATTTAGACACTTCAGTCTCTATTTCATATTTAAGCAGTGCCCGACATTTGTGTAGTACATTTATATATCTTCTGTCATTGTTTTGACGTTTTTACTCCATGTGTGGGATACACACTAACTATGTGCATGGCCGTACCTCTCACAAATTATGAATTACACAAGCAATGTCCCTTTGTTAACCGACAGTTTGATTGTAAACAAGACTCACACAGAAACAAAAGATGCCAGAATGCATTGTTATTACTATTATATGATATTTTTATAGTATATATCCAGTTCAACTCAGCTGCTCAAAGGCGCTTTGTTTTTCCTTCGATCATAGGATTTCAATCTCAACGGCACATCGTATTTTTCAATACGATGTGAATGTGAATTCAGTGAACAGTGTGAATGTAGGTATGACCTATGTAATCCATATTAGCTGGAACCATATTTGGGATGTGATATGGCCTTTGTCGTATATTTGGGATGTGATATGGCCTTTGTCGTATATTTGGGAAGAGATATGGCCTTTGTCGTATATTTGGGATGTGATATGGCCTTTGTCGTATATTTGGGCTGTGATGTGGCCTTTGTCGTATATTTGGGCTGTGATGTGGCCTTTGTCGTATATTTGGGCTGTGATATTATTAATGTTTTTATTTGGGCTGTGATATGGCCTATGTTGTGTATTTGGATTGTGATATGGGCAGTGTTATTTATTTGGGATGTGATATGGCTCTATTGTGTGTTTGGGCTCAGATATAACCTATACTGTATATTTGGGCTCAGATATGACCTATACTGAATATTTAGGCTCAGATATGACCTTTATTGTATATTTGGGCTCAGATATAACCTATACTGTATATTTGGGCTCAGATATGACCTACATTGTATATTTGGGCTCAGATATAACCTATATTGTATATTTGGGCTCAGATATGACCTATATTATATATTTAGGCTCAGATATAACCTATATTGTTTTTCTGGGCTCAGATATAACCTATATTGTATACTTGGGCTCAGATATAACCTATACTGTATATTTGGGCTCAGATATGACCTATATTGTATATTTGGGCTCAGATATGACCTTTATTGTATATTTGGGCTCAGATATGACCTATATTGTATATCTGGGCTCAGATATGACCTATATTGTATATCTGGGCTCAGATATGACCTATATTGTATATTTAGGCTCAGATAAGACCTATATTGTATATTTGGACTGTGTTATGGCACATATGTGGGTCATTTATATTGTTAATTGTCGGTCCTGTTTGTCCACAGATGACACGGTGTATATGGCTGACAGCAGTGACAGGGACGAGTATGTGCTGAGAGACACCGGCCGTATATGGGTTGGGTCAGCCAGGAACAACAGGGGCAGGCCATGGAACTTCGGACAGGTGAGTGAACCAGTCGCCATCGAGTGAGTGAGGGCTTATCGCTGCTTTGAACGTTGGTTGAACCCACGATCCCATAATGATTGGGTTCAGACATGATCAAGGGAACATTAGGCCACCAGCGACCGGACGGTCCCTATATGTAGTTCCCGTATATCAGTCGGATATAAGGGACCGTTCATAATTTATGGCTTGGGGTGATGATGATGTTAAGAAGGGTCACTCATTTTCTTCTGGGGAGGTGAGGGTGGGGGGGTTTGTCATCAATTTTGTACACATGTACAAGGGGGTCAGCAATTTTGTACACATAAATGTGTATAAATTATGCTTAAAACGTATGGGAAGGGGAGAAGGGTAATTGATTTTGTACATGATATGCAAGGGTGGGGGTCCACTTATTTTGTATGTAAATTGTAAGGGGGGTTGGGGTCATTCACATTGCACATGCTTCTGCATAAAAATCATCAACACCCCCAAACACACACACACACACACACACACACACACACAGACACACCCTTGCCATAAATTATGGACGGTTCCTAATGACTCCTTGTCTGCCTTCTTATATCTTCCATCTACCAAGTCTTGTAGTGATCTGGAGATGCTCTTCTCTTGCTCTACACTACACGATGAGGTGGCCTAGTGGTGGATGCGTTCGCTGTTCACGCTCAAGGCTAGGGTTCGATTTCCTACTGTGATTGAAGCTCAGTTTTATGTCTCACAGCCGAAACTGGCTGAACTATTGATCTACAAAAGACCGCACACTCACAATAAAACTTAGGTTCGAATCCAGGATGTTCATATCATGACGTCACAGACATAATTGGTCACGTTACACTTTAAGTCATTCGAAAAGGGGTTTTATATGACTTTATGAATAACAGCTTCTTATTTATTACATAAAGCGATGTCTGTGCTGTAGATTCTTACACCATTATCAAGCTTGTCGAATACTTCCGAATCGTTATTTACCTACTAACTGTTAGACTGACGATCATACTATCAGTTTGTCAAAACTGTTCTATTTTACCTAATCCTTGAATATAGCGATCTATTCATGTCATTTAGTCGCATGTTTAAAAGGGGCCTATTTAGTTATCGTTTAGTTTGGGCAACCAAGTTATAAGTATTAATAGTTTGTGTTGGCTTCCTCTTGACCAGTTCGATGACCCCTGCTTGGATGCCGCGCTGCTGCTGCTGGAGAATGCGGAACTCGGGGATACAGCGAGAGGGAGCCCAGTTGCTGTCATCCGGGCTATCGCGGCCATGGTAAGGACTTGTACGTTATGAAACATTCCTGTATGAAAACCCTCAGAAGGTCCTCGCAACTAAAAAGTCCCTAGCAACACGCGTTTGTCGTAGGAGGACTTTGTGGATTTGGATGGTCAGGTTCGTTAACTGAGGTGATATCACGCTACTATGGCTACTTAAAAACATTCTGGTTTCTTATCACGTTTTCCCTGGTTTAGGCTATGTTTGCATAGCAGGACTCTTGCTGAATGCGGCGCCAAACAACAGTCAACAAGATATCTTGTTTGAAATGTACAATAGACGTATTTAACGCTCATGGGAGCACACCAATACTACCACGCTACCTCATATGTGTCGTTTCGGGTCCTGAGTTATCCAGTGCATTTTACAGCCATTATACTATGGTGAATGACAATCACTATTGGCATAAGATGGATCCACCGCCGAGAATGATGAACTCTAGCTGTTTAAGTTAAGTCTTTGTTACTCAGATATTAACCAAATCACATTTACACTTTCATGTTACTCTTTGGCGTCTCATCTGACAAACGATGTTCACATTCTCACAGCGTTTACCGCGTTTTGTTTGATTTGTTAAGAGATCATATCAGAAACGAAATCAAACAAATGGTATGGTTGGTGCGAAATATTACACATACTCCAAATCAAGTATGAATGATTACCTTTCTGTGTACGGGAGCAAGTTAATAGACAATTAGTGTTTGCCTGTTAAAAACGTTCCCTGAAAGAGAAGAAATGCCATAAACGTATTCAGTTGAAACACGTAGATAATAGACTGCATAAGGTCCAAATGAAAACAGCACTTGTTATAATACGTTCTGTTTCAAATGGCATTTTGGTTACTATGGGAATATCTACACTATTAAGAGGATGTCCCTCTTCTGATTTTTACCAATAGTTATATCATGTCACCCAAATTCATGCTATCACCTTGTCAACGTTTAATGAAGATATGGATTGTTTATGGTTATCAGTACTTATGGTTGTAGAGGAATGGGTTGAATGTGTTGATATTCATAGTCATATCAATAACTTGATTGTATAAGTTTCGATTATTTACAGGACGCCGACATATAGCTGAAACAAGGTGAATGTGCTGGGGCACAGCAAACAAAATGTTCAGTATAATTTCTTGTTCAATGAATATTGAAACATCCTCGGCACACATTGTGGGGACAAATACCAGATCCTTCTATCTTGTAGAAGATATGTTGTGCTCGCAAAATCTGTGACATTGCCGATGCATGTAACAGCATTTTAACGTCATTTTACATCATTTTTAGACGAACAGCAACGACGACAACGGAGTTCTGGAGGGACGGTGGTCAGAGCCCTACGCTAAAGGTACAACTGTGCCTTGGGCGTGGCCCGGAAGTGTTGCCATCTTGGACCAGTTTTACAGGACCAGAAAGCCGGTGAAATATGGCCAGTGTTGGGTGTTCTCTGGAGTGGTAACCACGTGTAGGTTGAGACTTGTTATATTATATTTTGTATTAAACGGGTTGTACTTTTACTTATTTTATTTAATTGCCTGTTTGTGACATGGTAACGGATTTTCAGTGTGTCAGTGAGTTTTTTATGGGTGTGTACATTTAGGATAAAATATATATTCTTCGATTTGATGTTCTGAACTAGCCTATGCACAGTTGCCCGTTCGTCTATAGTTTAATGCCAGCGTTTTATTCGTGTATAAACATGCTTAAACTATATGTCACATAAAAAATACCCTGTCGATAGTTGGTAAAATCATTACATGTTATATTTTGCCCAAAAGCCATTTTTAACACAATCACTCCATTGCGCTTTCTGTGAATGTATGAGTTTTGACTTTTTGTACCGTTTCTAGCACTATTCCAGCAATATCACGGCGCGTGACCTCACCATATAGTCCATGTGGAGAATCAAACCCTTGCCTTAGGCGAGAAGAAGGACGCTTTAACCACAGGACTACCGGACCGTCCCCCGGTGTACTGTGTAAGATAAATATAGGCTAAGTAGCAACAAGTCGGCATCAAAATTGCGTTACAAGCAGCACGCAAATACGGTCACTATAAATGTACAGCTCACGTACATAAATACAATATCAATACAACATAATACAGTCGATGGTAACATTCATTGCAAAGCGGATACACCTGATATTGTCATGAAAACAATTGATATTGTCTTAAAAACTTGAATCCGCCCGTCAGCTAGGAACGCCTGGACGTGATGATAAGGACGCCAAATATACCCATGTGGGATAGCCAGGTTAACCTTCCACACGCCTTAGACCTCCTCCGCGCCTATTTGATTAAGGTCATGGCCTCTCTGTGCTCTCTTCTCCAGTGTTGCGAAGCTTGGGTATTCCTACACGATCTGTGACCAACTTCGAGTCTGCCCACGACACCGATAACAGCATGACCATCGACTCCCATTGGGACGAGGATTCCGAACCCGTAGAGTGGATGGACGATTCCGTATGGTATGCTGATTGTCGCCCTACACGTAGAGATCAGTTCTAGACGTCCTTGTCCGATTCCTATTGGAAACTTGAATTAACGAAAACCAAACCAAAATGTGATCTGCCTAATATGTATGCCAAGTGTAATATGTGTTAAGTATCATATGTATGTCAAATGTGATATGTGTCCCAAGTGCACTGTGTATGTTAAGTATATGTGTGTCAAGTGTAATGTGTGTGTCAAGTATAATGTGTGTATCAAGTGTAACACGTGTGTCAAGTGTAATATGTGTGTCAAGTGTAATGTGTGTGTAAGTGTAATGTGTGTCAAGTGTAAGTGTAATGTCTGTGTGTCCAGTAAAAGTGTAATATGTGTGTCAAGTGTATATGTCAAGTGTAATATGTGTGTCAAGTGTAATATGTGTGTCAAGTGTAATATGTGTCAAGTGTCATGTGTCAAGTGTATATGTGTGTCAGTATTGTGTCCAGTGTCTGTGTTGTGTGTAATAATGTGTCAAGTGTAATATGTGTGTCAAGTGTAATATGTGTGTCAAGTGTAATGTGTCAAGTGTAATATGTGTGTCAAGTGTAATGTGTGTGTCAAGTGTAATATGTGTGTCAAGTGTAATATGTGTGTCAGGTCTAATGTCTGTGTTAAGTGTAATATGTGTGTCAGGTGTAATATGTGTGTCAGGTGTAATGTCTGTGTCCAGTGTAATGTGTGTGTCAAGTGTAATATGTGTGTCAGGTGTAATATGTGTGTCAGGTGTAATGTCTGTGTTAAGTGTAAATGTGTGTCAAGTGTAATGTGTCAGGTGTCAGTGTAATGTGTGTGTCAAGAGTGTAATAGTGTAATATGTGTGTCAGGTGTAATATGTGTGTGTGTTAAGTGTAATGTGTGTGTCAAGTGTAATATGTATGTCAAGTGTAATATGTGTGTCAAGTGTATGTGTGTCAGGTGTAATATGTGTGTCCAATGGTAATGTGTAAGTGTAATATGTGTCATGTGTGTAATATGTGTGTCAGGTGTAATATGTGTGTAATGTGTGTCAGGTCTAATGTCTGTGTGTGTCAAGTGTAATATGTGTGTCAAGTGTAATATGTGTGTGTGGCGTAATGTGTGTGTTAAGTGTAATGTAATATGTAATGTGTCAAGTGTAATATGTGTGACATATGTATTGAACGCAGAGTGTCAAGTGGCGTGTAAATATGTGATGTGTGTCACAAATTGCAGACAAGGGCCACAGCAAATATATTCATCAGTTTGTTTTTGAAAATGCGGTTACAAAGGAGGAAATTGTATGTTATCCATCGTATGTCCTTGTTGCACTGCATCAATAGCTATCCTGTTTGAGGTCAATATGACCACTGTGTATTTATTCCAACCGAGTTGTATAAAGGTTCTGGCACTATTCCCAGGAACTTTCACGTATGGAATGAGTCGTACCTGCGACGTCTTGATCTCCCTGCCGGATATGACGGCTGGCAGGCTCACGATTCCACACCACAGGAACTCAGCGAAGGTAACACCTAGCAGCTCAAACGCGTATATATGTTCAGTGCTGATTACATGAAGACAATCTCCACTCTGACGTACGGTGAAGACGGTCAGATGACCTTGGAACTTGTCTTCAAAATAACATAAAAAATAATACCAAAACAAAGATTTCAAAATTGTCTTTAAAATATTTTTTAGAATATATAAATAATAAATCAAGAAGTAAATCCGGACAAAAATAATAAATATTTTTGTCATGAAGCAGTACCAAAGTAACATTGACAGTACATCCTTCGGTATGTTTTATCTCAGCTATTTATTGAAACCTGTGATAGGGAAATCATTCCCTTATAGATAACTTGGATTTGATTAGACAGCTGATATTATTATGGTTGTTTTCAATGTCATTCCAATTGTAACAGGTGTCAAAACGAGCTGTGTAGCATAATTTATCCAATGGATGAATAGAGAAATAGTACACTGGATTATCCTAGAACCATCTGTGAGTTTGGATATATATTATTCCGTGTTCATAAACTGACGTTAACATATGTTGCTCTGGGATTATTTTTCCAAAATGAAAAGCAACGTAAAGTCACAAACATCGTGTACTTGTTCTGGACACTCCACCAAGGTCCACCAATTCTGCTGACACTTTGTCTTTTGTCCCTAACCTGTTGTATATAAATGCTACTTCATGTTTGCCAGGCGTGATGCGGTGTGGCCCAGCGTCTCTCAAGGCCATCAAGGAAGGCCACGTGTACCTCAGCTACGACACTGGCTTCATCTTCAGCGAGGTGAACGGCGACAAGGTCCACTGGAAGGTAGGTCCAACATGGGCGGTATGAGAGAGTGTGAGTCAGTTTGGTTTCACTCTGCTCCAGTATTCCATGAAGTGTCACCTTAATCGTGAAGGCATCTATCACAAGGTCCATGACGTTTACCACTGCGTTGATACCCACAATCTTACGCAAACTACTGACAAACCTAAACCATTACAATAAGCGCTTCCCATCTATGATATGAGTCAGTGTGGATATACAATGTTTTATGTTGAATGACAGTTTCATCATGTCCAAACATGTTGTGTTAACATCGACTGTATTTTATGAAGCAAGCTAGATATCATATCAAGCCAGTCAGGTAACACCAGCCACCGTGTTGCAGGTGGATGAGGATGGCGCTATGGACGTGATCCGTATCAACAGCCACGCCGTCGGGAAGTTCATCAGCACCAAAGCCAAGAACTCTCCATTACGGGAGGATGTCACCCACCTGTACAAGTACAAAGAAGGTAGTAGTCAGTTAACGTTGTTTTATGCCATAGATGGTAACATTTCCACGTGACTTAGGCCCTGGTGTCACATACTGGTACTGTTCAGTTCTCTTCAGTAGGTCCAGTACGACAGCAGAACTGTTCAGGACCATTGTCCTAAAAGGGTTACTTGTTTGTTTGTTTGTTTGTTTGTATCTTCGTTCGTTCGTTTGTCCATCCATCCATCCATTCATTCGTTCATACTAAACGGCATACGCGACCCTGGTCATCTTTCTCCGTAATGGTTCTGTGACAGGTTCGGACAAGGAGAGGCAAGTTGTCAAGTTCGTCAACCAGTTCAGTTCTCGGGAAGACGAAAATATTTACAGCAAGAACTTGGACTCTGACGTCGAGTTTACCCTCGATGTACCTGAAACTGGCACCGTGTCAGAAGACTTCGTGGTTACCATGGTTATAAGGAACAAATCCAGCCAGGCGCGAACTATCCGTGGGCGCATGTCCGTGCTGACGTCATACTACACAGGCAATCCCGCACAACGGCTTAAAACAGAAGAGACGGACGTGAAAATCCAAGCCAAACAACGTGAGTAAAAAATTGGGACTGTGTGAGTGAGTTTACGCTGCTTTGGGTGTTGACGCGATGTAGATCTCAGATGTCACAATTGTGAAGCCCCCAGCATGGCTACTGTCCTGACAAATAGGGATAAACGGGGCAAATGTAACATTCTTATTGGTTACACAACACCAAATGTTTTCCCATAGACTTTTTAAAATATCATCCAGGCTGTCAACAGCCATCCCATGTATATGTTACAGTCAATCACATCCAAACATAGCGGCGTATGGTGATCGTTGCATCCCAGAATGCAGACTGGAATTTTTCTGGAATTGTACAAATGTTATGCCCACAGACCAATCATTTGTATTATTATCTCCCATCCACGCAACAAGCATGTCCTTGATATCACCATTTGCCCTTTCCACAGACCCTTGACTTTGAGGGTGTCGAGTTTTACCATGAGCCATGACAAGTCGGGGCCACACCAGTTTCAGTTCAGAGATAACCTTGGCAGTAAATTCACTTCCATTGTCACTCTGGACGATAGATGGGGCGCCAACAAGAAGTAAAATATCCAGTAGATGACGGGCAACCTCAGCAGCACGCTTTGAGTGAGTGAGTGAGTTAGAATTTAACGTCACCTCGGCAATATTTCAGCCATATAGTGACGAGAAATGTTTTACATAAACAATAAAGCACGCTTTGAGGTTATTGCTCGTAGAATGATAAACTTGGTCAGGTGGTCTTTATAGACCATGATCCACTTGAACGAATTTTGGGCCATGGACTGCATATCAATAAGATCAATTTGTGCACGCGAGGCAAATTCCTGTGTGAGAATGGGACGTACCACCACACCCTTGGGCGCTTGCGCTTCTTCTGACATTCCTGGCCGTAAGACTTGAAACCTTCAAGAGCCTCACGGGTGATGTTGGCATACTTTTAAGAAGAAGTCACTTGAGTGAAGTCACTTGGGGGATGTCACTTGGGGTATCACTTGGGGAAGCCATGTAGTTGTACTTGTAGTAATGTTTTGACAACCTCAAAACGCACAAGCAAAGATTTGTGACAAAAGTCAGAAACAATGCTATAAAAACATTCCCAGAAACAATGCTATAAAAACATTCCCAGAAACAATGCTATAAAAACAACACCTCAACACACATTAACCCCAGTTCCGCACCAAATGTCACCTACTTGAAAATATCTGTACACAGATTAAGTGTAAGTCATGGTGATAAAAATGACAGCACTAAATACTTAAAATTGTGGTCAGTATTAATTACTGGATGGATGTGCTTTTAAAAAACATAAAATCTTACACTATTTCATCCAATCATAGCTGTAACATGTCTCTATCTCTTCAGATGTTAACATACGCTACTCGCTCAGGGAGCACGTGATTCTGATTTAGTGTAGTGGAACCTAATGCACTTGCGGATAAAGACTAAGGGACGCAACTCTGTGAAAGATGATACCTTGGAACCCTCGGCCTGCGAGCAAACATTTTTGTGCGTGCGTGCGTGCGTGTGTTGTAGCTGTGAGAAAATGGTAGCTTAACTTATCCCTTGTCAGGCGTGTAGCAATTTTTGACTATTGGATAATCCAAATACCTGAGCATATTATAATCGATCCTGCCCCAGGCAGATCAGTGGTGGACATCATGGGCAAATATCGTGTTTTATGAAGGGTGATAACGCGACAATGCCCCTTCCAAGATTCCATACTTCTCTGATCCGGAATAGCCTTGTCTGATGATGTCTGCCTTGTGTTGACACTTGTTGAATTGTATTTCTCAGAGGAGAAGATCAAGGTGCAGATCAGCCGCCAGCTGTTCCAGAACAAACTGAACGCTGAGGCTACCTTCCAGGCTTGCTCCAACTACCGAGTGATGGAGACTAAACAGCTGTGGGCCGACACAGAATCATTCTGTCTTCTTAAACCACCACTAATCATCTCAGTAAGTGGCATTACATAGCTGATGGTGTTTTGTTTCAGTTGAACAATTGTCATGCCTTTGCATGTGTTTGTGACAGGTGCAGTCGATGGGACAAGACACACTCATCCCTTCCTGATCATGGCATACCACCATTCTTATTTATAGTGATTCATAAACCTTTGGACGTAATTCCTTTGGAATCGTACAATCGACTCTAAGGGTTTTGTCGTTTTACAACTACCAAAATTTATTCCACACTAAGACACAATAACCTTTATATCAAAAGAAGATGACATTCAATACTATGTGGTCGGATTAAAGACAAAGACGCTATTAAAATTGATACACAACATCAGAGGATGTCATTCATCATAGCATCTGAATGAACGCAATGATATTCCGTTCAACAGATACATAAGTCAGCCAGCTCAACAAAGTGTCATTCAACAAAACAATGGCTTACTCAGCTCAGCAAAATCGTCAGGAAACAGAATGAAATGCAATACACATTACGATTTTATATCACGCAATATAACAAAAGTCTATTTAAAAATTACATTCAATAGTTAGTTAACTGTATCTTGATTTAAAAAAATACCACCAATTCTACCGTAAATGTCCCTTTTGCACTTGATCCAAAGGAAACTACCTTAAATACGACTTGTGTTACATATTAACATATATACCACACACTGCATAGAAACCCTAACATATGTTTCAATATTAAACTTCCTTTTAATATATACTACTTTACACGGGTTAGGGAATTTTTTTACTGTAGCAAATATGTGGATGACAGTTAAACTCATGTCATATGACAGAACACGGTGTTTCTAAACTTCTTTTGAGTTGTATATAATGCAAATGACCCACAGACTGACTGACTGAGTTTAGTTTTACGCCGCTTTTAGCAATATTCCAGCAATATCACGGCGGGGGACACCAGAAATGGGCTTAACACATTGTGCCCATGTGGGGAATCGAACCCGGGTCTTCGGCGTGAGGAGCCAACGCTTTAACCACTAGGCTACCCCACCGCCCCTGACCCACAGACAATATAATTACTCCAAAAACGGAAAAATCTATATTTGCCAAAGTGTTGTACAAATGCTTATGGGTGATAAATATTGTTTATTCCAACTGTTTAGTCTATTTGTTAGACTCACTGACAGCCAAGTTAAGATATTGTATTCGTCTTCTCCAGGTTCCTGATAAAATCCATCCCAAGGAAAGGTATGTTGGAAAGGTGACCTTCAAGAATCCTCTGGACATCAAAATCACCGGAGCCTCGATTCAGGTTGAGGGAGGGTCAGCGGTCAAGGCCCAGCAGATAGATCACAAGTAAGTGTGTGCATATACAGTCAAATCCCGATGAGTCGAATGCCGGTGTCTCGAATATTATGCATAACACGAAGTACCTGTCGGTCCCAACCATTCCCTGCTATTTTTGTCATCATTTGATTTCCGGTTACACGAATTCGTCTCATAAATACACACGATGACTCGAAATGGAAATTTGGTCCCTTGAGATTCAATCAATAGTAATCTTGTATACATAAGCCGAAGTCAGTCAATGAGAAGTTAATTGGTGATCCAACTACATGTAACTGATCCAATTAACAAACCAGCGCGGCTCGCACCTTTCCGCTATTGTCGGGTGAGTTCAAAAGGCAGATTAGTGATTTTACGGAAACGGAAGAATTAGCACCTGTCACAACGACGACTCGTCTGATGATGAAGACGAGACACACCCTGCCGTCAAACCACCACCATCCGTATCGGAAGCGATAAAGTTATGTATATGAAACACCCCATCGTGACCTTTGGAATACAAGCAAAACATGTAAAACAGAATATTGGGAAGGGCAACTGCATATTCGGGGGTTCACAATATCCGAAGGCGCACGTAATATGTAGGGTGTATGAAAACAGGGGTTCCCCCCTTCCCCAATCAAAACGCACGCACGAACACACACGAAAACACACGCGCGTGTGCGCGCGAAGACCAAATCCATGACTGCAACCCCCGTTGATTGTTGTTCAAAAATATACTACCGACACAAACTAAGGAAGCTAATGAAATTATTCATTTTCGGCATGTGGATCTATATCTGTACACCGTGTTGAGCAATACAATATGGCCTGTGTGGCTACTCTTGTGACACATTTACCGTTTTACGAGCTATTCCAATAATGGAATTTGCCTTTGAATTTGAATTTGTTCGGAATTCTCTATTGCCAACAAGAGTAGTGTAGAGCTTGTCTAAAGCGGCGTTCACACGTCAAACTCGAGTCTGACAACACCGAAAGTTTGATGGAAACGTTGATGAGAATAGAGACCGATCCTATTTCTCGACAACAGTTTGACAACTATGATATTGGTGTTGATTGTTGGAATGTTCACACTCTCAAACATGTGTTGTCAAACTTAGGTTTGCCGTGTGAAGGTCGCTCTATAGCCGACGGTACTTGATCCACAGTCGAGAATTTACCCTCATTAAGTTGACATTCGGACGGCTTGGGTAAGTGACTTCTGTAGTGTAGATTGAGTTCAACACATACAGATTACCCTTGCCAAGGCTACACAGCTGTATAATTATCATTCGATTATCTATATTTTGTTATTCTATGCCTATGTGGACTCGCCATAATTATTATGCTGTTTTTAAGACCACCCCAGGAGCAGTCCGTAATGTCTTTTCACGTTGCCTTTCAGAAAAGCCATTGGACCAAACGAAACCATAAACGTCGAGTTTGAGATCACCCCGCGCCGTCGCGGCCTTCGGGAGGTTGAGGCATCCTTCTCCTCGGACCAACTGTCTGGTGTTGATGGATCAATGGAGTTCAGAGTTGTGTAACTTGATTCCCTGGAGGTCAAGGTCACTCATCATAGTTCATCATGGTTTAGTTTTTCCCGCGCAAAGGCTTATTTGTTCGTCGGAGCCGTCATTACATCAAAAGACACGTGTGCAACAAGTTTTTAAACCATGGGCAGTACAGTCTGTATTATAATCGCCCGAATTTCCGGAATAGCTAGTCCCTGGGACAGAACGATTTTGCTTCAAAATGGTAACGTTTTCGGGTATGCAAAGTTGTTAACAGCTATTGCATATCTTAATGTATCTGCTCTGGAAGTCATCGAACGATACCGAAAGGCTAGAACGCCTACTGTAACACGTGACATACATATGTCTCATAATGAAAATTATCACTACCGATTAGGACCCAATGTAAAAGTTAAACCCCAACGATGCCAAAATTAGGACAAATTTAAGCACCATTATAGAAATAAGCGTCTTGAATGGACGACCAATGTCTGGTACAAAAATACACGACGTGCACCATCAGTGAGATAAGGGAAGTTTTCTAATATTACTGGTGAGGCAGTTAGGTGCCTTGTATGGGAAGAAAGTTAAAATCGTTCGCATGCCATTCGCTTGTAATACGGAATCTTAGGAGGGACATTGACGTTACATCCGACGAACAAATAATTGTATTTTGACGTATAGATATATTTTGACTCCATATTCCATGTGTCGTTAGTCCAACTGTAGTCACACAGCAATAGCAGCTCGCCTCGCTTGGAACCATGACGCAAGACTGGAGACTAGACTGGCCCCAGTAGAAACAGTAGAACCAGTTTAGGACACTTGCTTCTCAAGCTAAACATAAGCCGAATCAAAACGGCCCAGAGAAATCAGCCTGTGTTACTGTCCACTGACATATATATGATTACATCTCCATCTTGTCATCGAGACATTGAAATCCGAAAGTTTTGTATTTTGTTTATCTGTGTGTTGTTTATCATCGTGTTTTGTCGTGTCTTTCCGTTACAAGTAGCTTATTCATTCGTGACTTTACGCGTCTTTCCGTTACAAGTAGGTTATATATTCATGACTTTATGTGTCTTTCGGTTACAAGTAACTTATTCATTCGTGCCTTCACGCGTCTTTATATCAAGTTTTGTATCCATTCGTGAATTTACATGCACGGGGTTTAATATCGTACGTCCTGTCCTGGAAAGACGTCTAGCATTGCCTTTTCCATCCATAGCAACTCGCAACCCTCCGTTAGGCCTCGAAGACATAGCGGAAAGTTGCGAATGGTGACGAATGGCTCACTGGAGGACTGCGGTTGCCATAGCAACGATTTCATTTATCATGATTATGATTATGATCTCAGCACCATTCGGTTCATTAGTCATTCCCCAAGTGTCCTTTACATTCACTGTGCAGCTAAGGTTAGAACAATAGTTCAACATGTCTGGTAGCCTATAACATCAAAACACGTTTGTATTGAGTCCAATGACACGTTGGTTTGTAAGGTACTCTGTATAACAGTGTATTGACACCCAGGTTTATGCCATACATTTTCATCATATTGTGTGTGTTGAAGGCCCTCATTCCAGGTCAAACCAAGGCGAGAAACTACTCTCGTGGTCCATACGGCTGGAACGCTCATTCCGATATCATTTTATTTGATGATATTTTTTTACATATATTGAAATATTTAAAATGTCTCAGAATTATCAATTGTATCTTTGATAATATACTTGAACTTTAGTGTCGGCATATATATCTGTTAAGAAATTCGGAAAGACGCATAGGCTGTACCAGTAAAACATTAAAACAAACGTAAAACACCACAGATGCTATTTAATAAGAGAAGTTTCTGCGTACATTGAGAATAATAAATACCATTATTATTCTGTTAAACAATCTGTAGAAATCAGAAAAACTGATCGAAATCCACGTTGCCTTAATTGTAAAGTGATGCAAGTTCTATCAAACATGGCAGCTATTCTCGTGAATGTAATGTGTCTTTAAAAGACTGCATGTATTGATGTATGATTGGTAGAAATACGTCTTGAGAGCATGGTGTGTGGATGAACAGAAACAATAGGTCTCAGTAGTATCGTTAACAGAAACAATAGGTCTCAGTCGTATCGTTAACAGAAACAATAGGTCTCAGTAGTATCGTTAACAGAAACAATAGGTCTCAGTCGTATCGTTAACAGAAACAATAGGTCTCAGTCGTATCGTTAACAGAAACAATAGGTCTCAGTCGTATCGTTAACTGCGCTTGCAGATATCTACCAACGTGAGCTTACTCAGCTCGATCCCAGGTCATTCACCGTTAATACTTCCCGGGCGTTTATACAAGCCAGTAAAGTATTGACGACGCGTGCCGTATGGGGCGTTTCTTTATAGAACTGTATTTTGTAGTTCTTACTGATGAAGCTAATGCTTTCCTCACACTGAAACGCGTTGAATGCTCTAATTAAACACACAAAACCACGCGCAGCGTGTGTAAGATATGTATGAATTGTATTCCTGCGAACTTTACTGATCACACAGCTGAGTTTAGAAAAGCAATTAACATTTAAATTGCCTTTCAAGCAAAGGTAATCTATTTGTTCAAGTTACAAAACTATCAATTGAAAATACATAATCGCTTATGATGGTAGTGTGTAATGAGAGTGCCTTTTCCAGATCCCAATGTTTAGTTTTGTGAATTAGTATAATAATGGTGTTAGACGTAGATCTGCTCAATTTACTGCCATGTTAACGTGCTTGTTTTCAAAGAATTTATGTTTACTGTTTCTGGAATAAAAACGTTGAGATTTTTAATTCGTGTTTGTGTGGATGCATGAAAAAATGGATACAACCAGAAACAAAGGTGTGAAGAACCTTCTACAGATTAGAAGACTCTGCCGGTAATTTCCTTGTGATCTCACCTTCAAGTCAGCTTAAGATAGCCAACGTTTTTGACGGAGAGGATTCATGGCCGTGTTCGGCAGCTTTAGTTTTTTGGTCCTGATCCACGGTTAAACACAAGCAACACGTTTGGTTCCACCTTTGACAGGAGACTTTGTTCAAGCAACGAATTGGTATGAGATAGGACGAGGTGGAAATTTTACTGTTAAACTTTGGTGCATTCGTCATATTCTTCTACCTCCATTAAACCCGTGAAGACCCGGGTTAGAACTGATCTTCAGTAACCCATGCTTGTCGTAAGAGGCAATTAACGGGATCAGGAGGTTAGGCTCGCTGTCTTGGTTGACACATGTCATCGTATCCCAATTCCGCAGATCGATGGTGTTGATCACTGGATTGTCTGCTCTCGATTATTTATAGACCGCCGCCATATAGCTGAAATATTGCTGAGTGCGGCGTAAAACTAAACTCACTCACTCACTCTACCTCCATTATACGTCGGGCAGGTCTAGATCTGCAGGAGGGATTCATCATTCCGCGGAGTTTAATAACATAGTGGACATGTTTGAACGCGCGTTGATGAATGTTTAACAAGAGAAAAAAATCCACCTGATTTGAGTTGAGTGAGTAGGCCTCCTTGATGGCGCTTTGACTGACTGACTTAGTTTGGTTTTACGCCGCTTTTAGCAATATTCCAGCAACATCACGGCGGGGGACACCAGAAATGGGCTTCACACATTGTACCCATGTGGGGATTCGAACCCGGTTCTTTGGCGTGACGAGCCAACGCTTTAACCACTAGGCTACCCCACCGCCCCACGGCGCTTTGAACATTATGTAATTATACTACTATGTGTCCGCTTAATGTGGGTGGAAAGTTTGAAATAATAATAATAATGTATTAATAAAGCGCCTATTATCCTCCATAGAGATGCTCAGAGGCGCAGTGACAATATTGGGGAAGGAAATAGTTCATATAACTTTACAGAAAGGCAGCAGTGAATAGACGGGTCTTTAGCAGAGATTTAAAAGTTTCTTTCGATGAAGTGTTCCTGATTTCCTTTGGAGGAGAGTTCCACAGTTTAGGGCTGGCAAAGGAGAAGGCTCGGTCAGACAGTTGGTTTGGAGATCTGTGTTGGGTGAGGAGAGAGTCAGAGGAGGAACGGAGACTTCGCTGAGGTACATACACGGAGACGATAGATGTTTGAGATAGTCGGGAAAGTTATCGTTGTAGAGGCAGTCATGAGTCAGAACGAGGATTTTGAAGGTAATTTTTGCAGAGATGGGGAGCCAGTGTAGAGACTACAGACCGTTTGGCTCAAAAGCTGACCGATGAATTGCAATCTAACTCGAAAACTAATAAACATAACATACTCAATGAAACGCTGATCATAATCAAAACATCATACCCACTCTGTGAGGCTTTTGCAGAATTTTTGTCCTAAAAATTAAAAAGTTGTTTAACAAACTATCATTAAAATATTGACACAGTTCACTGTTTGTTACGAGGAAGGAGTGCAGAGAAAGGGACAGCCAGGTGTTCGAGAAGCACGATCACAGACAAAGTTATTTATTTATTAACCTGTGCTGTGCCGTCTTCATCCGTTCATCCACCATGGGTGCGGCCACGATGGTGGATAATAACCTGATACCTGCTACACCTAATCCCATGCTGACTGAAACCATAGCGCTGTCAACACCGTCCACGGAATTGACGCCCCTGTCATATTTTTCTGTAATGCCGGCCGCGTATCGCGTTCACGTTCTAGTTGTTTGATCTCACATATCTGTCGCAAATGAAACCCGTCTACGGTTTCCAGTGTTTTTGCTACTTCATCCACGACTGGGTACAGTCCTATCCTGTGTGTGTATATATATATTTTTTTATAAAATAATATTTAATTGGTTTCCGTTAATATCTGATCAATGTATTTGAGGCTGGTCAGGTTTAGATTATCGTACACGTAAATATTCGAGACGTGAATCGAATTTCCTTCTATAACACACATTCCATCGAGGCTTATTAAGGGTGTTGATCCCGGTCTTATGACGATGCGACACTGTTGGTGATTGTGTCTGTCGAACCACTGTATTATCAACCCAGTCAATAGTGTTCGTTCTTACCTCCCACGAGCGTCAGCGAGATAGACATCCATTACGAGCGTGGTGTGAGATTTGATAGTCAAAATTGAATCGAAAAAATCCTGTTGGTAATCAGGTACATCAAACCGTAAATATGGAGCCACGTCATTGTGAAGCTAACATGTTGCCCGTGTGACCTGGTATTCGCTTTGGAGTGAAAGACGTGCGAAGATCCCGTTGTTCGTAATTTTGGAGACGTAACCATTGTTTTTAAAAGATATGGGTGAGGTGACGGCCATGTCGATCAACCAGTCTGGCTGTTTGAAGTCTGCTAGTGACACCCGCTCTCATACGTTATCTTTTAAGTGCAGGACGTACAAGGTGTTTTCCTTGCCGGGCAGATCGAATCCCCGCGTGTCCCGAGATCGGCTAGCGTTACATTGGGATGATGGTTGTTCATCGGTTGTTTTATACAAAATTATGAAATGGTTTTCAATTGGTTATCGGAAAATTCCTCGGACGTGCACTTTGAACCCATGAGATGTATGTTGTCAAGTAGGAAAATTTTGGTGAGCGATATCTTGTCTTCCACGGTAACGGTGACTCCCTGCAGACTGGTGTAGGCGTTTACGTTCACCCGCACGTAAACGGAGCAAACTTGGTATTGTTGTTATTTGGCCCAGCAGAGTTTGATCCCTTTCACGATTTCGACGACGTCACGCGCCGACGAGGGTTCTCCGAGGTAGACTTGGATGTACAGCGTGGATTTCGCTGGCAGATTGTCCAGGACGTCTACCACACTGTCGAATTCAGACACCATCTACAATCCCACGTTTTGCGTCCCGAATTTGCTCAACAGCATGTGGGCTTTCCGTTGTTCATGTCTTTCGACAGGTAGTGATCTTTGTTGTTCGTGAAAACGAGGGGACAGTCGAGCGTGATGTTGAGATTCCAGTCGATTTGGGATGGCACTAATAACCATTTGTTGTCGTCGTTGAAGATGAGAGTGGACTGCGTGCTTCTGGAGACGGCAGTGGTCTCGATGTCGTCCAGGTGGGACAGCCTGCCACGGAACGCTGGGGTTATCGTCCATTCGTCCTCGTCGTTGCGTATCAGGTTGTACCGAGTGTTGTTGACCACTCCTTCGGTATCGACAAAATCGTCTAGGTCATTGCCACCACCACCACCAGCAGCGGTAGAGGAAGCGGCAGTTCGACGCATTTGTAAATGCTGCATTTCAGTTACCAAAGTACGTACAGTTTGCCGTCGAATACGGGTTCGAATCGAATCGTGCGTGTCCCGAGTGGAGATCACTCATTGCGATGCATTTTCAATTCCGTGATGTGCCTCAGGTTAATTTCTTGCAATGCCGCAACGAAAACGTTTCGGTTCTGCCATCATTGTACTTTTCCGTTTTCACTGGCACGGCTCTTATCAGTGTGAAAGGTCGTTCGCCTTGAACTTGAGTCTCAAGTCGTTTCTACCGTTGTTGGCTAACATGACCGTGCTTTTTGAGTCGTTCATTTTGAGTTTGGCTCTCACGGGTTTGAAGATTTCTTCGTTGAGCGAGCACAGGCTGTAGTAGCCGTCTGTTGCGGGCGTTATTGATGAAAATCCTGTTGTTTTTGCCGTTGATATGGTCCATCGCGGGTAGTAGGTGATATCACAGAGCGCGACTTCCAGCTGACCAGACGTGTTATGGATCGCGTGCAGCAGTTGAACGGACTCACCGCTCGTGATTCCAGGAAGCGTCACGTACATATTGAAAAGTAGATATGTATACTAAAATATAACAATTCAAATATGTACAAACCGGGAGTGTTTTATTTTAAAAGTGATCATATAACTGCTACCTATCTCACGCAACCGAGTATTGTGGTCGTTGCAAAGGATGGTTTACATTTCATAGTTCCGTTCATCGCCATCTTTAAAATTTAGGGGTTTTCAGTCACGAATGTGAAAACAGTACATGCTTGGTTCCACAACCCGATGCAGTTCTGTCAGAATCAATTCAATTTCGCAGCGTGGTGCGCGACGATCGGGTGCGGTGTGACGTTGAATGACACTCGTCGTGATGAGCTGAGTCGGTCTGTATTCTCGTTTCACGTGTATTACCCGATCAGACGTATCCTGTAAGAAATCAGCGCCCCGATTCGACAGGACAATGTGTGGAAAGCTGTAAACAGTCAATACGATCGACGTGCATATGAAAGCGTTTGCAGTGAATTCGAACTAGATCCGAAGGCGGTCGATGGGCATTTGCCGGGCGAGAACCATGGGTTGGGCATTCCCATTGTTCACAACATGTCTCTTGTGGAAGCCAGCAAACACCTAGTGAAAGATTGGGGTTACAAGTCGTATCATTACATCAAGACGAACGAGTGGAACGACGATTACATGGCTTTCAACGACAGCAAGGATTACCGCGCTTGGAGCTTTGAGCAGGGACCCGCGGATGATTGGAAAATGTTCATGCTGGACACTTCGAAAGGGTTTACTCGTTTCGGTGTCATCAGATTAAAAGATTTGATTCGAACGTACGTGTGGGCCGTGCTGGGCGCTCAGACGCAAACACATTCCAGCACCGTGGGTCGTGAAGGGACGGCTTACGACGTGCAGAAACAGTTCATGGCTGAAGTCGAGGATGCCATTGCTAGACCGGTCGATCTACTAAGTGCCATCGAACGCTATGAAAACGCACTAGAATATGCCCGGTCGAAAGTTGACTACGTGTACATGACTGTACATGACTCTGAGTGACATGCGACTGAGGGTGAACAGAGTGGTGGGCTACAACAACGAAAGCGTCATCGCGACCTCTGATCAAAAGT